CCAAGGAATTAACAATCTTCATGCAAATGAGTCACGATCTGTGAAACGGATATACATGAAAAACCTAGAGTCCAGAAGTGGATGAACAACCAGAACTTTCTGCCAGAGCTTACAGCCGGTGAACGCTAAGAAGAAGAAGCAGAAAACACTTTAATTTTATTTGATACCAGCACTGATCAGTGTGTTCAAATAAGGATGATCCTGCGACAGGTCCAGCAAACTGGTAGGGAATTTATTTGTTCACGGGAAATTGCTCAAGAATTATGGAGGAATTTGAAGAAAAAGCGTACTTCAAACAGCGCTCACATTGTTATGATACAGACAACATAGACCTTTATAATCACGAGGAAGTACACACATCAGGAGAAGTAATCGATTCACCCACGTTAAACGAACTACTGTTTGCTGACGACCAGTGCTTGTTCTACCCTGAAGAACATAGACTGCAAGACCACATTAACAGGTTAAACTCAGCATGTAGTAAATACAACATGAAGATCAAAGTAAACAAAACCGAAACAATGCAAGTTAGTAGACATTCTGCCCCACTACATATACAGCTGAATGGTTCTGCCCTGAATCAAGTTAGAGAGTTTAAATATCTAGGAAGTATGATCACAGAAGATGGTAGAATTGACAGAGAAATAGAAACCAGATGTCAGAAAGCAAGTGCACTTATATACCAATTGTCACCATTATTAAGACATCCAAGCATAACTATGAGTGCAAAGAGACAGATTATTAATAGCATATTTATTCCAACATTAAGCTACCAGTGCCAAACATGGACACTATCTAAAGCCCATATACGCAAAATTACCACCTGCGAGATGAGGTGCCTGAGAAAAGCAGCCAACCTAACCATACGAGATCGAGTGAATAATGAAACTATCAGGCAAATTGTAGGAACGACACCTTGTACTAGATTCATCAAGAAACAGCAGATCAAGTCGTTTGGCCATCTCGTTAGAATGCAGCAAGATCAAATACCATCACAAGCACTACATCGCAGAAGACCAACTACAAGAGCAAGAGGACGGCCGCGGAAAAAATGGATCGACAACATTAAAGACACTCTACGCCATCACGGCATGACAATAGCCAGTGGCAGCCAACGTGCACTGGAACGCAAATTATTCCTCCCCACGACGCTTAACCGCAGAAGTGGTTTATGATGATGACCAGCTTCTAAGCAATAAAGAGCTGACCAACTACGGCATACTTCATGTATCACAATCAGTGGTATTGAAGCAAATGTCTGCTACTGAGGCCCAAAAGGAACACAGAGTAGAAATATGTAATCTACCTTGCATGTCGTCAGAGCTGATCAAGAAGGATTCGTGCTGAACTGGCTACTTCATCTTGGGCAGATGAGGCTCATTAACATGCGAGTGCAGCTCATCTAGAAGGAAAACTCTGATATCAAACCCCCAGTTCCTTGTGGCAATATCCTATTTAGGGAAACTGAATCAGGAGCAAACCCTGATGAAAAAATCCAGAGCTGGCATCCCTAAGGTCGTTCAACAGTGTTTACTCTGCTGCACTGGCAGTTCCTGCAGTGTCTTTGGTGCCAAGCTATATTGGCACTTGCCCTTCTTTGGTATTACCAGTGACGTAGAGAGGGGGTACCTGCTGCCTAGGCAACAACCTGTACTCCAATTCAGCTAGCCATGGCCTGTGTCCTGGAGAGGTTGTTCATAAAATGAGCGGCACAACTTCATGGCTCCCAAGGACTGACGGGTGCCTATCTACTTACATCTTGCACATTTCTTTCAGTACCAAACAATTCACTGTGCGCTTCTTGTTCAGTGCGAAAGATAATTTATTGTTGTCTTCTATCAGAGATACGGTGATAGTAACACCCTGTAGCTGAAATACTAGTTTCACCACTTCTGTCCCACAATGCCTCTACTAAACCCATATAAACCTAAACATATATTGCTTTTAAGCTCAACTCTTTGGGGTATCTTATTCTTCACGTTCACCAGCTGTAAACTCTGGCAGAATTTTCTGGTTGCCTGTCTACTTCTAGACTGTGTGGTCCTGTTCCAGAACTTGAGTTCTGCATGCAGATCCACTTTACAGATCTGGTTTGTTTGTAAGCAGACGGTTCCTCGTTCTTCGCCTGTCAGGCAGTTGCACTCTGACTTCAAAGGAAGCACACATAATCAGCTGAATTTTACTATGTGCTGTTTGGGGAAAAAGGGGAAAAAGGGGGGGGGGGGGCGGTGAGTTTATTCTCCTTTTTGTCCTCCACATTTGAGCCTGGAACCCACAGTGGGACTTGCATAAAAAAGGTTAAAGTAAAAACTCCTTGGTACTGAAATAAAAAAAGTAAAATAAAGGTCCCTTTACACACACTATGGTGCAATGGGCATATGAGGCTAAACTGATATTGATATAGGCTTGGTGGTGAACTGAGGTATGACAAGCTGGATGTTGTGAGGGTCCTTTGGGAGCCAGTGAACAGTGCTGAGGCACAGACAGATCATTACGGTCTGAGGAGAATGGCACTGCGACGAGTTACAAGGGGATCTAGCCGACGCTTGACATTCACTGAAAAGGCGAGACGGATATAAAATAAGACAGTTACTGGTACCATCAGAATTTTAACGCTTCACTTGCTGCTGAAGATGGGGATGGAGCACTTATGGGGGTGTCCTGAGTGCTGTGATGTCGATTCTTAATTCAACAGTCTTAATTCAACATATAGGTCAATCGGCTCGATAGTTGATCGGATCAACATGAATAAATCTAAACAAAAATGCTAAATCTAACAAATAATAAACAAGTCTACAATAAAGATTTGGCATGAGTTGGCTGAGGGCTTTTACTCCATGGAGACGAAAGGAAAAAAGAGAGAGAGAGAAACAGTGTGATGGAAACTCACCACCACCCATCGAATGCAGGACAAAAAAGCACTGGAGACAGTCACAGAGTTCTGCAGCATGTCGAATGACTTCAGACAATTGCTCCTGATATTGTGTTCCATACATTTTATATCCAGTGGCCCTGCCAAAGATAATAAAGTCTGTTATATATGCACTACTGTAAAATATATGAAATGAAACTTTAACAGTTTATTTTAACCAAGTAAAAAGTAAAAAAGTAAAGATCCCTTTTCACGCCTTTAGGCACATCGGGCATATGGGAAGAGCACCCATATTTTTACAGACCAATCGGCAATCTTCACACATCTATTTCTTGGTCAGTCTCTTGCCTTGTAACCTACTGTTCCCATGAAGTACAGTCCAGCTAGCTACTGGCTGACTGTGTTTCATTCTGACCAGATGACTAAACCATTTGATTCTCTTATGCTCTATAAAATAATTTACCAGTACTGTGTCTATCATTATTCTTAGTTCTTCAGTGGTGACTCTTATCTATTCTTTTTTTTTCCACCACATTTCTTATACATCTTATCTCAGATGATGACTTATTTATGTCAAGGTAGTCAAGGATTATAGATTCATCTTGCTTTTCATCTGTACATCAAATGTCAAGATGATCCTCTGGTCACCTCTATCTGCAGAATTCTTTTCAAACACTTGGTCATCTGTTTGTTCTTTGTTCATCATTTCAGTGCTTCTAAGGGACCATTGCTATACATGCCTTGTCATAATCAATCACCCCAGAGTGGTGCCAGACCATTCTGTTTGTCTACCTATTCATTTCCTAACACATCATGGAATCTCTTAAACAGAAGATCCAAAGGATGCTAACAATCTCACCCTCTGAAGTAAAACATGCCACGCTAAACACAGCATACCTGACTTTGAAATCCACAATGTGAAAGTTTCCACAGGCTTGGAAAAGGGTCTTTTACTGTTTTTTTTTTAAATAAACATTTATAAAGACACAATTCACATTTATGCATACAGAGATGCACGCATGCACACACACACACACACAGAGAGAGACAGAGACAATATCATCTATGTTGTGAGTTTTCACTGATATCCTTAAAGATGTGAACATCAAGTAAAATTGGCACATAAACAGTATCTTGTCTGGAAACTGAAATACTTATCAAATACCATGGTGGGCTGGAAAGAACAGAAGCAAATAGCATGGATAAGAGGAGCAGAGGCTGACCGGCACAAAGATTGGCACGTTGAATAAGAAACACCTTAGGCTGGAAAGTGATGAGGTGCGAGAGCTGGCCAGGGACCAAATTTCATTCAGGCAAGCTATGATAGGAGTGTCATTCTTCAAAGGACCTGCTATATGATGATGAGTGAGTACCCACTAAAACAGGTGGCTATCCTCCGACTAACGGTCGGCAAAGATGGCGGCTGCAAAATATCCTTTCGAGCCACAGTCGCGTGTCAATTGCGCACTAGCAGTCACGAGCACACTGCGGCTGCTGCTCGTGGGTCCTAGCCATCTAGTTTAGCCCCATTCCACACCGCAGGAGCGGCGTTGGGGACACGTGGCGGTGGCGATAGTCACCGGAAAACTGCAGGAGAACCGCAAATTAAGTCACGCGACTGTGGCTCGAAAGGATATTTTGCGGCTGCCATCTTTGCCGACCGTTAGTCGGAGGATAGCCAAACAGGCTATTCAACTTAGTTTATTCAGGAGCAACAATTATGAAAATTTGGATCGTCATGGGCCAGAGGCCTAAGCCCCGCTACAGAAAGATCATTAATACAATACAACTAACAGTGATCCGCGGGCCACTTGCTAGGTTATCAACGGGCCAAATCTGGCCACAGGCAGCCAGTTGAATAGCCCTGCACTAAGACCTACCAGTTATTCCCAGATCCTGACACATCTGTAAGAAGTTGCCTGCAGTCGAACACTTCACCGAGTGGCCCTTGCATCATTTCACTCACAACTCCTTCCTCCATATCGACCAACACAGCCTGGATGGGATGAAGTGGACAATGCATTTACTCTTTCAGTTACAGGTCAAATAAACTGTCTAAATGTAAACAGCTGGCTCTCCTAGCAGATTTGGACGCAAGCGGGACGGCTTCGGTCGCTTTAGTGGGAGTTCTCTCCCTTGGCCGCACTCAAAACAAGTAGCGGAAAAAGTCACAAATCAAATGACATACTTACGTACTTGTGTACGGTTGCGTCTAGGGTAACCTATCATCATACGGTTGCGTGTAGGGCTGCGTAGGGTGTCTATCATCATCCTACGGTTGCGTGTAGGGCTGCATAGGGTGTCTATCATCATCCTACGATTGCGTGTAGGGCTGCATATTGCGTGTAGGGTTGCGTAGGGTTAGGGTTAGGGGGTAGGGGTAGGGTTAGATGTGAAAATGTGGTCGAAATAGTGGCCGACAATCTGATGCTTGTGGGAGTGGCGCCACTGAAATTCTGCCAAATATGACGCCAATAGCGAGCAGCTGGTGCCCAATCGGTGGCGAATTGTCCGTGTCAGTAGCATCCACCGTCCGTCGACTGTTTGAGTGTGTATGTGACTGTGCGCGATTATAAGGAACTACGGCGTCAAAATTGTCACATCTAACGCTAAACCTAACCCTACCCCTAACAGTAACCCTCACCCTACCGCTAACCTGAACCCTAACCCTAACCCTACCCCTAACCCTAACCCTAACGCTACCCCTAATCCTACCCCTAACCACGCAAATTTATCGGTCATTAAAGCATACAGATCGGCAAAACACACACACACACAAAACCCAGATATTCCCGCAGCGTCAAAAAAAAACCCAGATCTGGGGGACACACCTAAGCATTGGCAGCCCTGATGTCGACCTCACTGTCTTGTTTGATTCGTAACTCTTTCCGCTACTTGTTTTGAGTGCGGCCAAGGGAGTGAACTCCCACTAAGGCGACCGAAGCCGTCCAGCTTGCGTCCAATCTGTAAGAAGTTGCCTGCAGTCGAACACTTCACCGAGTGGCCCTTGCATCATTTCACTGACACCTTCCTCCATATTGACCAACACAGCCTGGATGGGATGAAGTGGACAATGCACTTACTCTTTCAGTTGCAGGTCAAATAAACTGTCTAAATGTAAACAGCTAAATGCAGTTCCAACTTCATAGCAAACAGGTCAAACCATAGTTGGTCCATTCCTGGGCCAACGAAAAACCCACAGAATATCCATCACTGTCCTTTATGAAAACACTGACAGAGACTGCAGTCTCAGCAAAGCCAACAGCTTACACACACATTAAACTCATAAGGCAACCATCAGAAGTGCTAACACAAATATAACAGCAATGGAAATACAGTTCAACATTAACGGAAGCAGTAGTGACAATAGATCAGTAGTTGCACATGTAATTAATCATTTAAGGCACCAGTAGTTCTCTGGCAAACCAGTTTTTGATTCGTAATCGATTATGTAAACACATTAACTAACCACTAAACAAGACATTTGCACCAGGCCCTATACAAGTAGCAATGAATAGGAACACTATAACCTACAATACATGTCATAAGAGGTGAGAGGAGAAGACCGTCGGTCCCTATTAACTCTTTCAGTCCTAATCAACGCTCTGTGTGTGAATTAATTTACCTTTTGATGTTTCCCTCTGAGGCATAACGCGCTCTCTTACTTTTACCATTTGGTCAGGACATACTACAGAAATCTGGCTTCCCCCCATTAGTCACTACAACTGTACATATTGCCACTTTGAAAGTAGTGCATTCTTGATTTAGTATCATGATTATTTAGTCCCTTTAGAATCTCCTGTGAACCATTTGGTACTGAGAGAGTTGGGACTGTGGTGTGATGCAAGTCTTTCACTGTTCAATACATTTGGTTTCCACTGGAATGCCAACCAGCCAAACCTGGTATCTATCTAATGCTTGTAGACAGTATGTCTGTAGCACATGTTTAGTATTCTGTGGTACTTGTCCACACGGGTACAGTTCTGAATCCCCAATCTTGAATTTCTTGAACATATCGCTGCAGTCTGCTGTGTCCAGTACGCAGTCTAAATATAATGCTAGGCTCATTTAAAAAAAAAAAAATTGGCGCTTGGTGGGTAATGTGGGCAATGAAAGTCATGCCAACTGCCTTTACATCCCAGGACACCACATGATACCTATTTTAGGCTGGGTCAACCTGGGAACCGAGGTGAATTAAAAAAAAAAATCAGACTTAATGAGGAATTAAACCCAAGATCTTAGGGCTGGCAGAAGAGTGTCTAGCCACAATACCATGTACTTGAAGCTTACAATAATTCAATATTATTTTAGTCTGCTAACTTACCCTAGCTTTCAAAGACTTGATTTTGCCACTTCCTTTTCCTAAGGGTATGTTCTCTGGGTTTTCATATCTGCTGTCCATATTACTGAAAAAACTGCCCACAGATTCATCATAAAGACCATTCTGAGGGGAAAAAAAAACATGAATATGAGCACAGTGGAACCTCGCTTAACGAGCATTATTCGTTCCAAAATCATACTCGTTAAGCGAAACACTCGTTGTGCGAAAAAAAAATTCTCATATAAATTAATGTAAAATACGATAATGCGTTCCATGTCGAAAAAAATACTCACAAAATGCTAGTATAATGTTTATTCAAAGAAAATTATATACATATTGTTAAGGAGAGTGAATCATCTTCATCTTTTCTTCATACGTGGAATGAACCTTTCTAGAATGCTAATTTGATTTGCAGAAAAAAAAGTCGAAATAATTATGATACATAGCTAATTATTTTTTTTTTACTAGAAAGATGTCCAGAGACATTTGTCTTTGATGATGCTTCAAAATTTGGCGAAAATGCGACACAGCATTATCATTAATACATTTGCAGCACCATAGCCACTTCCTTTTCAGGGTGATGCTTCTCAATGTAAGAAACAGTCTCCCATGATTTCAGCATTTCTCTTAGTTTTGCCAAAAGATTGTTGCTTTTTCATTACCTCCTCCTTCTCCTCTGACAAACTTTCCTCCCAAACTTCTTGCTGTGAAACACAATGCAACTCCATAAGCTCTCCGGTGGTCAGTTCTTGACTGTGCTCTTCCACAAGCTCTTCAATATCACTGTTATCCACCTACAGTCCTATGATAGTGGTCAAAGACACAATCTCGTTGACTACAACTTCCACAGGTACTGTCTCAAACCCCTCAAAGTCACAAATCAACAACGCTCTCCGGTCAAAGCTTCTTCCAAGCAAAAGCTTAGGGTTCTCTTGGTAACTCCTTCCCCCGCCTTGTCGATCATCTTGGGGCAGGCAAAAATGAGGAAGTGATTTTTCCAAAACTCTTTGAGTGTGAGGTTGGTCCCTTCAGTCACATGAAAACAATGCTCCAAGAGTGCTTTAGTGTAGAGCTTCTTAAAGTTAGAAATAACTTGCTGGTTCATGGGCTGGAGTAATGGAGTGGTGTTGGGAGACAGAAACTGGATCTTGATGAACTTCAATTCTTCAGGGAGGTCATCTTGTAGGCCTGAAGGATTCATGCACATATATCACAACTAGCTGTACCTGGCCACGCGTAGCTGTGGCCCAGAATGGTGAAATGGAGAAGAAAGAAAATAGCTCTCAGCTGTCTGTCATATCCCCCCCCTCCTCTCCCTTCGACCCAGTCATATCTCACCTCCGAAGGATTGAAAAATCATCCCTGGCAAAATTATTAAAATAGAAATAGTTAAGAAATGAGAACTTTAAAATAATGTCTTAAGCTCTCTCAGCTAACTGTGTCTGGCAAAACCCCCCCCCCCCCCCCCCCCCCCCCTGGTGAAATTATTAAAATATAAATAGTTAAGAAATGAGAACTTTAAAACAATGTTTTAAGCTCTCTCAGTTAACAGTGTCTGGCATCAACTCCCCTTCACCCCCCCCCCCCCTCCCACTTATCATATCATCCTCTCCGAAGAATGGGAAAGTCATCATCTGACGAAATATTGTAACTAAATTGAGCCTGGCATCCGCGTCCACCCAGGCTAAAATGGGTAGCATTCATCTGTGCTGAGAAGTAAATGTGGCCAGTGTAACAGCTACCACATCACCCATCCAGTTCCAGTACTACTGCTACCACTACCACCACCACCATAACAACAACAACAACAAAAACTGTCACCACAGTCTGTGTAGGTCGGTGTAGCCAGAGGAGTTAGCGCCACACGCTGTCGTCACGGACTATTTAGTTTAATTGTGCTCCGGACATAGAAAAAAAAAACTTCATCACCTAACCAGTGATGGAACCCACAGTAAATAGTACACTATACTCACGAATAGCGGAGAAAAATACGTTGCACCCGTCACCTCTCCCTCTCCGAAGGGATGATTTTTAACTGACCGATGATTTTTAACTGACCTTGGCATCTAAACTAAACTGGACTGTAAGCTGTCTTAGTTAACAGTTTCTGTCATTGCCTAATAGTTTTTGACCCAGAAGTGTCGTGGGGAGGCTAATTGGGACTTAACTGAAATCGGATGTCTTTGGGCGAAAGGCGCAGATATTGCAGCCTAGCTGTAAACGACAACACAACATGGCAACCACCCTTTTAAGGGAAAAAGAACAATTATCACCCAGGGGGAATAGAACACCGGTCACCCGCGTGAAGGGTGGAATACTTACAACTATATTACCGAAGACTGAAGAGTTTAGGTCAGATATCGCAGCCTAGCTGTAAACCACAACACAATGTGCCAATGATAGGCAGAATATTTACAACTACGCTACCAAAGACTCTCTGTGAATAGTGGAAATGAAATTATATAGTAATGCAAAGTTCAAAAAAGAGCTCAACAGTCAAAAATGGCCAATCAACTAAAAACACATCCAGGCCGGCAGCGAAACAAATAATGATTTGACCGTTTCTGGAGCTATGTCTTTTGTGGTTTGTGCAATTTTGTGACACAAAAAAAAACACACTTAGAGTCAAAGGCAATGTTGTGTGAAAATTTGAAAGCAATTCTATATAGTTAACAAACTCGGAAAATTAACATTTTTATTAATATAGATATAACACAAGTTTGAGAAAATGTGTGACCACAAGTGACATTACGATGCTACTGGAACGAGTGCTAAACACAGACTGATGTAACATGAGCACAATCAGGGACTTTCCCTCTCCTCGCCACTCGTTATGCAAAATGTCGCTCGTTAAGCAAGTCATTCTTTTACAATTTGTTTTGCTCGTTATGCGAATTACTCGTTATGAGAGGTGCTTGTTAAGCGAGATACTACTGTATGTGCAAATAGATATATGTAAAGCATTCACTTGGCAGCTGGTCTAGAAGGGAAGCTCTTACAGGGAGAAGAAGCACTGCTTTTCTGATCCAGAAGTGTCTGCAGCATGGTTTGTTTTAAATCATATTACCTTTCCTTAGGAGCTAACAAGGCAGGCACAAACAGGGATCATGCTGCATGGGCAACACGTGGTCGCTACAATACTGGCTGGGCTTTGTGCAATGGTCAGAAGGAATCATGTACTTATTGTGGTGAATTATTCTTATCGCGAACTGGTCTTGCTAGTGACACTGGCCAACAACATGGACCTCCCAAAAGCACGATGGAACATTATCATCTTGAAAGATGGAATGATGCCAATTTTAAATGAGGTTTTCAAGGTGAAGTAGTAAGCATACTTTGGATCTTTTTTCCAGGCCATGCTCTACTCGCTGCACCACTCTCTTCAGATAATTAATTGTGCCCCAGCACTGTTTATTCACTCCTAAATGGCCCTGACAACATCTAGGTTATCATGCATAAATTTACCACCAAGTGGTGAGGGACTAGCCAATATATCTGCCTGTTTTTTCCCAACACACCTGGATACACGAGTGTAGTTTTACTGGATCTACAAAGTTTGCACTGTGTGTGACACTCTCAGCAGGTGGCTAGCTGTTCCGCAAAGAGAGAGTGAGTCATATGGGATAACACCCGCAGCAGTGAAGTCACACATGTTGGTTTAAACCTTATCTTTAGTATTATGTTAATTAAAATGGTGTGTTTAACACTACTCTATGATTTTACTGACACAAATAATATACAACAAAATTAATATGACACAAACACAACAGAATATACATTCTACAAAAGCTAGTCATACCTTGTTAATGTGTGCATGTTCCCTCAGAGCCAGGTCCCAAAACCTGCAGCCGATTTGATTTCCACATTGGCCAACTATGACAGAGAAACTTGTAATAATATTCTCTCCCTCTCTCTCTCTCTTCCCTCTCTCATACACATGCACAAACACACATACACACACACCAAGGCTTTGGCTATGACAGCCTGCTTCTCCCAACTGCCAACAAGTGAGGTAAGCTGGCATCTATCTGTCTTTTGAGACAGTTATGAGTTCGATTATCTTCACAGCACCCCAGACACATTCAAAGGTGCTCAGATTTCCTCCTCAACATATTCATCAGCATCACGCGGTTAATAGTGCCAGTCCTATGCTGGTTGACAAGACTTTGTGAGCGTCCTGTGTGCTTCTCATGCTTGGCTGTGCCGATCTTTACTCCCAATTCTTGTATTCTTAGCAGTGATGTGGACATGTTGCTTCCAAAATCCTCAGAACGTACTATCTCTCTGAGGGCAATGACAATGTCTGCGTGATCTTGTGGCCGGCCATCTTCATTAATGCAGCACATGCCTGTCTATCAGCTCTTTCATTACCAAAAACACCTGTATATCCTTGGGACAAATATTAAGGTAATTGCATACACAGGGGAGTTTTGCAATGACTCAATCCACTGTCTGCGTAACCAGCTTGCCTAGACCCACCGGATCATGCTCAAAGAATCACTCAGCACACACACACGGGAACAGTGATTCTAGCCACATGAAAGCTTGTGTCACCACCATCACCTCCATCGTCATGTTGCTGGTAAGTAAAGTAAAGTAAAGATCCCTTTTCACGCCTTTCGGCGCATCGGGCATATGGGCAGAGCATCCCATATTTTTACAGACCATCAGCACTCTGTGGGTAATGTGGTCAGCATTACGCCGGCTGTCTTTACTTTCCCAGGACAGCCCATCCTGGTACCCATTTTAGGCTGGGTCGACCTGCGACGTCCCATACCACGACAAAAATCCACGCAGCCTGCAGTGGGTTTCGATCGCGGTATGCTGGCTTACGAGTCGTGGAAAAAACACCGCTGGCTTCTTGAACTGTTCTGCCTGAAGAGTGAGCTGTAAATGCCCATGCACTCTTATTTCCTCGTGTAAGTGACCCGTCTGTGAAGATAAGGACTTCTGTCTCATCTGACTTGTCACTGATAAGTGCGCAGCGGGGTTCTGCTCCCGGCAAATCCTATCAAGTGTGACGACAAAGAAAAATGTGAGATTGGGCGCTTTAATGCTGGTATCCACTCCTCACATGGATGGATATCTTTAAGGCTGCAGACCCTCATGATGTCATCCTCTGCCCTACCCAGCCATGATTTGCCCCTTTTAAGTCTATTGCCTTTTTCCTGAAGAGCATGTGGTTCAAAGGGTGCTTCAGATTTGAGTTTATCTTGAGGTATGCACGAGCCCTCTAGATCTTGATCCTGCAGTTCATGGTAGGGAAGTCAAGAAGGTATCTCATTGTGACACAAGAGGTGTCTCAAGTGCACCCAAGAATAATGCACATTGCTTCGTTTTGCACCTTCTCAAGTCTGTCAATCTGAGTATGGCTGACAGTGAGAATGGCTAGAGCATATTCGATGGGAGAAAGTACAAGTCCCTGGAACAGAAGTAGAAGCAGTCTCTGCTAAATATTAGCAGTGGCCAGGACCCTCATTGCTGACAGGCCTTTGAGACAATAATGTTTTATTTGCTACTGGAGGGTGGGGGCATGGGAATCAGAACCCATGGTGATGGCGAGTGTAACTAACAAGACCAGCTCATGTTAGGAAGAATCTTCCACAACTTGTACATGAGATTTTAAGAGCAATGTTGTCATCACATGATTTTGACATGTTTCTTCTAAAAAAGCTCAGCTGTTAACCTGTCTGCAGTCCTTTTTTCCTCTGTCCTTATTCCGTTCCTTTCCCCCCTCCATAAAACACGGTATATGGCATCTTCCTTCCATGACATCCACTGCACATACCCTTAATCCTCTCACCCCAGGAAGCCACAAACCCAGCAATTCCATGAAGGTAGAATTTCCAGTAAATGACGCTTGACCAGCTTGACTTCAGTGATGTTTTTATGAGATGCATAGTTAACACGAGTGGCAGTTTTCTTGCCGGTGCAGTGCACAAGATTTCAGGATATGGATGCATTAGCTAAAAAAGAGTATTTAGGGGTTCTCTTATGAATCAAATAGTTTTTTAATGCCATGCTGACATCAAATTTAGACTGCAGCCTCTGTGATAAAGGTCACAGCATGGGTACCTGAACGATCTTGTTTAAAGACTGAAGAGTGTATTAATGCTTCACTCTGTTAATGTTTACTGATTGCTCCTTCTATATATCTTAATATAATTAGAATATATATATATATACATATTTTTTAAATTAATGTATTAGAGACCTGTAAAAGTGTTGTTGAAAGAAAAAAACAAAGAAAATTCCCATGAGCTTATGATCCATTTTTAGAGTTACCAGGGTGAAAGGGTAATAGCAGAGTCTGACCCTTGAGGATTTTTTTTTGGTAATATGCATGGTTTAACTCCTGTATTTCATCAATATTTATTTTGGGTAATGTGCATGTTTTAGCTCCTCTATTTCATAAATATTTTTTTTTTTCAGTTGGCTGGGGGAGAGGGGATTATTGTTGTGGATGTTAACAGCCCCTCAGATGTTGAGTTCTGTAAGCAGTTTTGTGTTTATTTACTATATTTATTCACCAAGCCTAGTGCTCTTGTCTGGTCACATACCTTTTGACTTGCTTATCTTCGGTCATATCATAGATTCAGTCATCACCTGATTGGGGTAACTTCTCGCAAGAAAGCCATTCAGTATATCAGTGTCATCTGTTGCTCGACCTCTTTCAGAATCCAGAGTAAACATACCCGAAAGCCAATTCTCAACTCATACATTTAACAATCATGTTTCATTACTGACTAATTAGTAACTTAAATATATATGGTAGATATTTGGGCTCTCCTCCGAACTTCTACCCCATATTATGTCAGCCAAACAAATACCCTAACAGGGCCTCAGTCCTATGCAAAATGCGGAGTTCCTGCAGAGGAACAAATCGTGGCAAAACTAGGATCGGCTCCGAATAACGAAACAAATGCTCTAGCAGGGTCTCAGCGATATGTTAATTGCAGACCTGTTTCTGCGACTACGCCGCACGTATCCCCCGTGCCGCTACGCGTGGCGCGGATGGGGGAGCTAAACTAGATGGCTGGGACTCACGAGCAGCAGCTACCGCATCTCCTGCAACTTCCTCCAATTTATTTGTTCGCGAGTCCCAGGCATCTAGTTTATATACCCATCGAGCGTCATGGGGGATTTGCTCGGTGATGAGTTTAATCAGAAGAACACTATCACCAATCTACGTCAGAGCGCGTGGTCTCCCTGCCATCTCCATATTATTATCTGTAATGCTGCATGTCTTGAAATTGTCAATGGTCGCTAGTATTGTCTGCAGAAACGCTCGAATTTGTCAACGATCGCTATTATCGTCAGCTACTATCTTCTGCAGTGTTGCGTGTCGTGGCATTGTCAAGTAATCCTAGTTCTGTCGTGATTTGTTCGTCGGAGGAAGTCCGCATTTTACACACGACTGAGGCCCTGTTAGGGCATTTGTTTGGCCGCCATAATATGGCGTAGAAGTTCAGAGGAGAGCAGATATTTGCAAATGTCTTTACTCTTACCTTGAACTACTATAGACTGAGTCATCTTGATTACTCCTTTTTGATTTACAGAATGTTTATATTTAAATTAGTTATTACACTTTATTTAAACACAGATTATATATGATATATCATATCAGTTTAATTTTTTTTCATGACAGAAAAGTTCATGAACTGAATAAAATTCACCAGTGAAATTCGCTCCTGAGTTCTACACAAACTAAAAGTATTCAAGTACAAGACTCAGACTGAAGTATTCAAGTATGAGTCTCTGTTGAGATCGCAAGAGAGAAAAAATGTATTTCTCTACTTTTCATGTCATAATTGTTGATCTGATAGCAATGAAGAGAACCTGATGCACTAGTATTAACTGCCCTTTCCCCTTCTATGTCTGTCAATTCAGCTCGCATTTGTTTATGTGTCCCAATGATCTTTTGTTTTATGTTTACCGGCTGTAGCCAAAAATGTCAACAAGAGTTATGGCTCGTTGAGTTTATTTCTAATTTTTAATATTGAAGAGGTCACAGCTGGTGCTGATCCGTGTTCCCATGGTGACGAAGAAATAATTAAACAATGTGATAAATAAGTGTGTGTGTGTGTGTATGTGTGTGTGTGCGTGTGTATGTGTGTGTGTGTGTTTGAATAAGATCAATGTATAGTAATACTACAGATTTCGGAGAATAAATCCTGCATAAAATTTTTCATGTTTTAATTGTTTCATATGAAAACATATTTATATATTACTAAATCTCGAATGACGTTTCATTCTTAAAATGTAGTGAAAACTGGCATTCATTTTAACACTTTTGCTGTGAAGGCAGGAGAGAATTCAGGCGGTGGAATTAGGTCTCCCTTACTGGCGTAGTTTCACGAGCTATACATGTTACGATTTCATTGTTGCCCTTCATAAAAAAAAAAAAAAAAAAAAAAATATTCACTGCCGTGCCGAGCATTCGAACCTGGGTCTCAAGCATGTGTAATGTTGGGGGTGGGAGGGGTGGATGGGTGGGAGAGGGGTTGTGTGGGGATGAGGGGGGGGGGTCTTGTCAAATACGGTAATTTTTACGATAGTCTCCCCATTTGCACACCACCAGTTGTAGGTCAACTCAATTGATAAGTTGGTTCGACTAGTCTACCGTGGTCGAGGTTATAGGTGTCGCAGTCTGTTGTTGTCTGGTATTTACGTTTTTTTTTCCGAGAAAGAGACTGTCTGTGACATAAGTTTTGTCCCTCTCTAGGGGTGTTCTGTGTTAGACCCAGTATCTGAATGTTTTAGAAGTGTCAAAAGCTCTGGCATGGTGAAATATACAACACGCGATATCAGCGCGAGTGCGGAATATCCCCGTGACCTTGTGTGAAAGTCGGATGGCTCAAAGCCGACCTAGCAGAAATGAGGTGGTTCAGTAGGTCTTCCAATCAAAAGCGAGCTAGTGTGTAGTGCTTTGCAAACGGGGAGACCAGCGTAAAATGTACTCAGTAAACTAAGTTGGGGAGGGGGGATGGGGTTATTGTCATATACAGAAAAGGGCTAAAGCTAGCATATGAATAGGTGTTTTTCTCTTAGAACGTGGCTGTATTTAGACCACAGAAAGGCAAAATATATTTGTGTATCATTTCGCATTGCTGCATTTTGATGAGGCTAGAAACTTCGTATTTCAAGGAAGAGACGGAAGGGAACTGGTCGTCCCACTTCTTCTTCTTATTATCCATTTTGTGTGCTGTTGCAATCAATAGAAAGAATACGAGGCGTGCGGCTGTGGATAGATATGACTACCAATTGTGTGCTGTTGGTAGTCATATTTATCCACAGCCGCACTCTTCGTATTCTTTCTATTGATTGGGACGCAGATTATCTTCCATGCCATTATGTCAAACTGTCTAGCATCTTCTCTATGAGTCTGCTTATGCCTTTGCCCCCACCCGCCCCCCTTTTTCGAATTTTTCCAGTGCCACTATGTACTTCAGTTTTCTCCGTCTCACGACATGACAAGAGAATGTATATTGTCGCCTTATGATGAGGTCAGTAAGTTCTCTTTGTGAGTCAGTTTCTTTCGAGGCATCCTTATTATTATTATTACATTTCTAAAAACCTGTCTCACTTCATAAAGTCGTAATGTCGTGTTCTTAGATTCGTAATGTTTCAAATGAAACTTCAACCTCATTTTTACACCCCCCCCCCCCTACCGTCCCTCTCCTATTGTACCCTCTCTCCACCTTTTCTTTTCTCCCCCTCCCCCTCTTCCTTCTTCTGTACTGCTCTTTTTTTTCAGTTTCCTGAAGAAGTAACATTACTAGACGTGGCAGCAGCAGTAGGAGGAGGAAAACAATTGAAAATAAGTCGTAGCATTATTATTATTATTATTAGTTAAAGTAGAAGTAGTAGTAGTAGCAGCAGCAGTAGTAGTAGTAGTCGAAGTATTGAGGTGGGTTGGGGGCGGGGCAGTAAGCAACGGTACAAGTACCGGAACATTTTTGGCAAAAGTATTCTTTTTTTTTCCAACACTTCTGTAAAACACACTTTGTGGTTAGTACCATAACCTTTCCTTAGACGCTTTGAAGTGAGTACTGTTACGTTTACCCCCAAGAAAACAAGCCCATGTAGTAGTAGCAGCAGCAGTATACTAGTAGTAATAGAAGTAGTAGTAATAGTAGTAGTAGTAGTAGTAGTAGTAGTAGTAGTAGTAGTAGTAGTAGTAGTAGTAGTAGTAGTAGTAGTATTTGGTAGTAGTAGTGGTGGGTAGTAGTAGTTGTAGTGGTGTTTAAAGAGAAGAAGAAGAAGACGTAGGTAGTGAAAAGAAGGAGGAGAAGGAAGAATGAAAGAAGGAGGAGGAGAAGATGAAGAAGAAGAAGAAGAAGAAGAAGAAGACGTGCTGCTGCAGCAGTAGCAGCAGCAGCAGCAGCAGTAGTAGTAGTAGTAGTAGTAGTAGTAGTAGTAGTAGTAGTAGTAGTAGTAGTAGTAGTAGTAGTAGTAGTAGTGGTAGTGGTTATGATAGTGGTAGTAGTAGTTGTAGTAGTAGTTAAAAAAAGAAGAAGAAAAAGAGATTAATGAAAAAAAGGAGGAGAAGGAAGAATGAAAGAAGGAGAAAGAGAAGACGAAGAAGAAGACGGAGGGAGGAGGAGTAAGAGGAGGAGAAGGCGAAGTCCTTAAAGTCGCGAAAATCAATTTCACTGCATCTAGTTTTATTCCATATGGCTAGGTCTCTCTCTCTCTCTCTCTCTCTCTCTCTCTCTCTCTCTCTCTCTCTCTCTCTCTCTCTCTCTCTCTCGCTCTCTCTGCAGTTTGTACAGAGCACAACACAAAGCACGGACTCCATAGCTTCAAATAGGATGCCCAGTGCTTTCTGTTAACACTGCATTCGTGAACCGAACGACACAGTATGTAAATCGAAACTACAACCCTCAGGGGGCAAAGCAACACATCTTACCCACTAAGCCCGGGAAATCAAAGCGAGTTATATCACCAACCTGGGCCGGGGAGAGGTGGATGTGGGCGCTGGAAAGAATTGTTTGCGAGATATATTCTTCCCAAATGGAGTATGAGCCCTCTGTCAGCTAACGTCAGGTGGTCCAGTTCATTGTTATAGTATTCAATTCGCCCTAGGTCAACCCTATTTTGTAAACTTTACCCTCTAGTTCCCATCTCCACAATAAGAGTTGGCTCCGGTACACCCAGTGCTGTCTTTAGAAATATTACCTGTTAAGGTCCGTATGTCTTTCATGGTGCGACTTTCGTACCATTAGTAGACAATCACGAAAGCGTTTTTTTTTTAAAAACCTAATAAGCCGTTTGTTGAGAAAAACTAGCCCGAGTACTAGAGGAACACGATTACTACGCCATAACACTGCCTTATATATATATATATATATATATATATATATATATATATATATACAATATATATATATATATATATTGACAGCCAAATCTCACAAAGCTGCATAACCTGGCTCTATTGCACAGGAGTGATACAGGCGTGCGAGAATAAACACGCTAAAAACAAATGATGTCTACAATGGTCCTCAAATCCCATGCAATAATTATGGAGTTTTCTTGACGCAGGAGTGTCTTGCTAGTCACACTCGTCATCACTATGGGCTGTGAGTCCCATGCATCCTCATAGCATAATTTAACACTATCTCCTGGAAAGACGGAAATGTCATCGGCGACCGGGTCACCAATGCCTCGCCGGTAGACGACTTCGTCGTCAGTTGGGACAGTATTTGAGTCTGTCACCTCTGATCGCGTCAACACTGCAGGAGTCCTTTTTAGAGCTCTTGGTGGCGTGCAACGTCAAGCCATTTTCTATGACGCACATAATCTAGTCACAATTATAACCTAAAACTCCCCATTCGGGGATGCTGGTTAAATGTCAAATATCACAAAGCCTGCATGACCTCTATTGCGGCATAAGATCTGTGCAAGCGGGACATGAGTGATACAGGCGTGCGAGAATAAACACGCTAAAAACAAATGATGTCTACAATGGTCCTCAAATCCCGTGCAATAATTATGGAGTTTTCTTGACGCAGGCGTGTCTTGCTAGTCACACTCGTCATCACTGTGAGTCCCATGCATCCTCATAGCATAATTTTACACTATCGCCTGGAAAGACGGAAATGTCATCGGCGACCGGGTCACCAATGACTCGCCGGTAGACGACTTCGTCGTCAGTTGGGACAGTATTTGAGTCTGTCACCTCTGATCGCGTCAACACTGCAGGAGTCCTTTTTAGAGCTCTTGGTGGCGTGCAACGTTAAGCAATTTTCTATGGCGCACATAATCTAGTCACAATTATAACCTAAACCTCCCCATTCGGGGATGCTGGTTAAATGTGAAGATTCCCCTCCTCCTCGATCAAAGCACCTACCTACCTAGACGGAAAGGTGCCCACAAAGCATAACCTCGTCACACAACTGCCAACAAAGCATTACCTCGTCACACAACTGCCAACAAAGCATAACCTCGTCCCACAACTGCCAACAAAGCATAACCTCGTCACACAACTGCCAACAAAGCATAACCTCGTCCCACAACTGCCAACAAAG